TTGGGACTAAGGCTTGGATGTTGTTTGTTGTATTGAATATGACATCATGATGCAACTTATTAATTGTATTTTGTAACATTTTAAGTAAAGCATTAAATATGTCACTAGTAACACCGATTTAATATATTTCGTTAATCTATTTACAAAATCAGTGTTACCAGTAACACCGATTTAGTATATTTCGTTGTAACATTATACTTCGTATAATTTGTTGTATTGGGAGACATGCATGGTAATTTACCGTTACTGTACCATTACGGAAGAAACTTCGGGATACCGAACTTCGGTAAGGTAATGATATATATATTTTGTATACCGAATGTTTTGGTACGGCAAAGGTATGCAATAAAATATTCAGTATACCTTACCGAACCACCCTCAGACGCAATCCAGCGGTGGTCCAGTGACATGTGGGCAACATTCCTCCCCAGAGTATTTTTGTCAAATTACAAATAAAAAATCATACTTATAGAATTTTGAATGACTTATTCCCATTTTTATCCAATTACAAATAAAAAGTCATATTTATAAAATTGTAAATTAGTTTGTCCTATCTTTGAGGCATCACCCTTTTCATAAAAAATATTTTTGCTATAGTCCAAATAAAATAATTATACAAACATGTCCTTTTTTTCATCCCGAAAGAAAACACCCCCAGGATGCGGTAAATGTCGGGCAAGAATATTTCATGCGGTCCAAACATAATACTCAAAGCTTCGGTCGAATCAACACAAGTAGGGATCAAAGAGTTTCTTTTTAGAGAGCGATGCGGTTGAGGCGGTGGAAATTGGAGAGACAACCGGTGCGATGGTCAAGGACTCAAGGGTCGTCAGCATCGTTCTGCTGCAACGGGTCATCCCGTGTCTTTGAACGATATATACACACACACTTAACACTTTTTATTTACATTTCTAAATAAGTGTAGATACGAATGACATAGTTAAATCATTTATTCCGCGCACTAAATAGTGTAATAATCAAAATAATTGAAAATTATTTTCTGACTAAATTACCTGTGAGAAACCATTTTAGATTTTATTCTATATAGTTCTCAAATTTTTAGCAAAGCATACTATGATTATAATTAATTCACAATTAAGCAAATTCAATCAATTTTATCATTTTGCAACTTGAACACATTTCAACCCATTTCAACTTGTTGTATACTTCGTCGTTACCAAGGGATCTCTAATAATTACTATAATTAGTACACAATGGACCACAAGAAGTTGAAAACTAATCTTGTTATCGAGAAAATCCTCTAACCAAATTTGTCAAAAATGGACAGTGAATGATATTTATGCACGCAAGTGGTAAGTCAAACGGCACACTTCATGCTGTTCCCTGTTAGTTCAGCTATGTGGAGGTTGAAGATGAGTAAGGTCTTAACCAGGAAATTAGTGGTTGAGAATGGACTAATGCTGCACTAAACACAGTGCTCAAACAGTTAATCCTCCGGGCCCCACTCCCAGCAAGTGCACCAACAACCCAGCAGAGCCACGTCACGCTTTCCACATGCCAGCTTCCATAGCCTTCACCTGCTATCCAATCACCTCTCTTCACTTTACCAGCATCATTCCGTCTCTCTCTCAACAGAAATTGCAGGAAAGGAAGAAGATGACTTCGTATTTGCGGAAGAAGCTCCAGATTGCATTTGGGTCCGTCGACGAGAAGGGGAAGAAGGAGGTTAAGGCTTTGGGCCCTCCTCCGGGAACCGCCGATGAGATTCCATATTCCGAAAGCGTCTTGGAAACCAGTCAACACGATGATGATGATGATGACGACTGGAGCGGAATGGAAGGGATAGAGCGTAGCAAAATCGGAATCGTTAGAGCTCTTCTCCAGAAAGAAGACCCTTCTCCTAAGGTCAACCCTTTTATTTTTTCATATCAGTTGTCTTTTTTACAGATCAGAACTTCTCATTCCATTGAGAAAATTGAGGCATTAGTGTAGTTAACCGAGATTTTCTGGTTAGGCGAGGGAAAAATTGCATATACGGAGTATGTTTTATAATTTTTTGCACATTTTTTTACATAAAAACATTTTTTTTAACTAAAATATGGGTTGGCCCCTTTACTTGCACGCCCATGAGTTAAAGTTACCCGAGTGATTAATTGTATTTAAAAAGTGAGAAAGAAGAGGAATGCTGAAAAAGTTAGCCATGAATCATGAATGGATGAAAAAGTGTGTTTTCTGTATCTTTTGATAAGATCGTATTCTCCAAAGATGAAAAGGAGAACAAATAATAATGAACTCAAATTAGACAAGAAAATGTTAATGGATTTAGTATAAAGTACAAACTATGTAACACAAACCAGCATGGCATTGGATTAGTACTTTGTATCTTTTATTAACTAACTTATCCAATTAAATAACTGTTTTTGTAGAAAAATCTTGGTTTCATCAATGGATGTTACCGAATGCCAGTGCAGCCACCTTTTCTATGTCTTCGGCCCTGAATTTTTAGGTATAGAAACTAACAAGCAGATGTGAAGTAACTCTGAAGGTCAAATTGACCATTTCGCTGTTTTCATTTATTGGATGGTGACATGCTGAGCTAAGTACTTTTAGTAAGAGCGAACCTATTTAGGATTCGATCGAGTAATCTTTAATGAGCTTTAGAGTCTGTGTGAAGAATTTCAGGTTGAGAGTGTGAGGGAAAAGATACTAACTAGAAGCGATTAAAGTCAAATTCAAAAGCCTGAATGGTGTTGGTATTTATAATGAAGTGTAGGACGATGTAGATGACTTGATGATCCGTAGATTCTTACGAGCTCGGGATCTCGATGTTGAAAAGGCTGCTGCAATGCTTCTCAAGTACCTCACATGGAGGAGAGACTTTGTGCCCAAAGGCTTCATATCACCATCTGAAATTCAAAACGACATTGCCCAAAACAAGTTGTTCATGCAAGGGAAGGACAAGCACGGCCGCCCTCTAGTTGTTGTTTTTGGTGGCCGTCATAAGCAAACAAATGTGGAGGACTTTAAACGTATGCAATGTTTCTTATTCTTCACATAGTATTTTTGATGTCTTTTGAATTCTCATACAACGAAGCATTGCCTAAGATATCAACTTAGATATGATGTATTGAGTTCCTACATATATAAATCTTTTGACCGCATACTCCTGAGTCCTGACTGAGTTCTTCTTTTATGTTTATGAATTATGATGGCAGGGTATGTAACTTTTACACTTGACAAAATAACTTCGAGGTACCATTGCCTTTCTTCCCAGTTACATCTAACATCTAAGTATAAAGTTTACTCTATTCTGGAATTCTGAATCTTTTTCCTTCATTTATCATAGAATGCCAGAAGGACAGGAGAAGTTTGTGAGCATAGCAGACCTTGATGGATGGGGATATGCCAATAGTGATATACGTGGATACTTGGCGGCTCTGTCAATTTTGCAGGTTGGCCTTTCCATCGAATCGATCCTAGTTGAAAGTCAAAGGAGTATGGAGAGTTTTTTGCTGGTTGGCTTCTCACTGTGAATGTTTTGCAGGATTGCTATCCTGAGAGGCTGGGGAAGTTATTTCTAGTTCATGTACCTTACATATTTATGACTGCATGGAAGGTCGTTTACCCCTTTATTGATAGCAGAACAAAGAAGAAGGTAAGACTTCTTCAGTTAACTTATCATTGTGGTAAATAATTTCAACTTTTTCCATTTTTAGTTCTCTCACGGTTGTGTGGACACTTTAATACCGTCTTTGAATTTCTACACTTTGAGCCTTCAACCTTTTTTTATAACCCGGTAGGATTTGAGCCTTCAACCATTATCATATACTCCGCATCGTCTTACCATGTATAACCACCAGGTACCAAGCGATCTATAATGCTTAAATATCTTCTAATTCAGTTTGTTCTTATGTTTTTGCAGATCATTTTTGTCGAAAACAAGAAAATGAAATCGACCCTTCTTCAACACATTGATGAAAACCAACTTCCAGAAGTATTTGGCGGCAAACTAGCGTTAGTTCCTATTCAAGACAGCTGAACATGGAGATGCAAAACGTCTGGTCCTTGGGGCTCTTTTATTGTACTAATTGCATTATTGGTGATCGGTGGCACACCTGATTTGCCAGTTTATTAAACAACTATATTTGTTGATACTATGCTATAGCGACATAAATATATATACCTAATACTTGGTAATTTGGTATGGTGGCTGTTGCCAATATGGAGTCATAAATATTATCATTGTCACAACCAAATAAACTTGATGCCCATTAAACACTTCACGCTGCTATTGCCAAAATAAACAACCCTCTTTTTAACCAGAATTGGCCAAAATAACAACCCTCTTTACATCCAGACCTTCAATTATTTTGTGATTTGTACGAAATGGAACCCGTTTGGTAGCCAAGAGAACCTTAGTTGGCTTATCAATAAAATAATCATAACAGTATTCCGTTTTGGTAATGTTTATTTGGCTTTCAACCAAATAAGTCACACGTACCTACTGCACAAGTCAAAGGCCATTTATTATGCTAATAAACAAAAGAGCGATTCTTCTACAAGTTTACACTTTTTATACACTCTAGTGTGCATAAAAACAATTACCGACTTGTGTAGTTGTGTGCATATAAACAAGCTAACGGTGTTTACAAACAAAATATGGGAGCGTACACAACAAGTATTTTGTATATACCTAGTTTTTTTCTAAACAAAAAATGAGCGGAATTAGCCAAATTAAGGATATGGAATGGGGCATTAGTACGTTTTGACCTTTTTTGTTATAGTTCTTCCTAACCTATTATAGTATATGTTCTATATTAAGATCAACATCCTTAAACTGTGATGAGATTCAAACTTAGGAGTGTCACTGTGATGAGATTCAAACGTTTTGACTTTTTAATATGACCAAAATGAATTCTCTTAAAAATCAACAAACTCAACCAAAAAATCTTTGCCGAGACTAATCTTAATTTCACTAAAGAGTCTGGACCATGTATTAGCGAAGCTGCAGCCTGCAATCCTAAAGTAAGCACGAAGTTCGCCAAAATGCAAATCCCTGAACATAAATTGTTCTATATTGTACGTTCAAGTGTTCAACACATGTTTAATGTTTTAAGGTCCAAACGAGGGTAAATGTGTAAGGAACCAATCACAAATTCGATTGTGGAACATGAAATTTATATTATTCACTGTTCTAGCAAATCTTCTTACGAATTTAGCAAATCGATAGCTGCATTATTCAAAACAGCGTGCAAATGTTCAAAACTAGTGTATAAATGCGTCCCAAATCCAAAGTACTGAGCTTTTTAGGGAAAGAAATAAGAAACTCAAGAAAAGTATTCGTCAAGATCAAACAATCTACGCTCGAGCAGCTTTCATTGCCTTTGTGAGGACATACATAAAATTTCTTTTCATCAACCAATAAGCAACTTGTTCTCCTCCAAGAAAGAGTAAGTAGGCACCTCAAGGTTGTACGGCGCAGGTCCTTTGCGAATCCTGCCAGAGACATCGTAATGAGAACCATGGCATGGGCAAAACCAACCACCAAAGTCTCCTGCATTCGGTAATGGTATGCACCCAAGATGTGTGCAAACCCCAATTACGACAAGCCATTCAGGATTCTTAACTCTCTCGGCGTCTTGCTGTGGGTCCCGTAGTGAACCAACATCAACGGTGTTTGCAGTTTTGATATCATCCTCAGTCCGACGCCTGATGAAAACAGGCTTCCCACGCCACTTGACCGTTACAGTTGTCCCCGGTTCAATACTCGACAGATCAACCTCAATGGATGCCAGGGCAAGGACATCCTTACTAGCAGACATGCTCAGAACAAATTTGAGCACCAAGAGGCGAACCAATGAGGCATAAACAAACCTGCCACCTGTCAGGACAAAGTAAGCAAAAGCACGCTTGCTTGGGTCACCGGGTGGAAAACGCTCATGATTGCACTCATCATAGACAATTTTAGAGGTGGGATTCTTTATCGCAGCCAATGTTGGTGGAAGATCTGAAGAGCCGTCTTTTGCAGGGGTTAGAGAAGCAGAAGTGAACCCTGTAGCAGTGGCACAGCGTAAAAAAACAATTACACAATCCAAATAATTGGCACACCGCACACCCTATATAACTTTATTGCAAGCTTCTACTGCACATTTGAATTTAATTAAAAAACGCTGGACAAAGTGATATGGTCATATGGTGCGTAACAGAGAAAAGAAATTGTTTGTAACATGGACAAGAGGATATTGGATTTCCATTCATTTCTTATCCTTCAGAGCCTTCTTAGTAAACCTCTTTTTCGTCTTATCAACTGATTTTACACCAATTATTAACTTACTTCACCATGTTGGCTAAATTGACTGATGACAAAAAAGGTACCCATGAGTTACTCTTTGGCTGAAAGGAATTACATTTAATAAATGACATTTTTACGCTCATTTCAGATATTATTTCTCTTGACTTATGTAAGAAATAATTTTAGCATGACTTTTTAAACAGTTCAGCATATTTTCACAAAACAGCCACCATTAATGAATATTCACGACTTCATCCACTTTACCTATTTGAGGCACTAAAACGGGTTCTTAATGTCCATAATTCCAGGTTAACTCTCCCAACTATATGTCTGCTCTCATACGCATATATGGCAAAGACGTAATTGGTAGTTGAATTGTTGAGATTTTTCATTTTTTCCCAAGTAAATGTCAAACAAATCTTTTTGACTCTGATATCATGTATCGGTTCGTGTTAGCCGATTAAGGCTTGGATGTTGTTTGTAATTGTCAAAAAAAAAAAAGTCATATGAGGGAAATTGATACGGAGTACTTGACAAAGTTACATTTTCCTGATGTAATCATCAAGTAAAGATAAAAACCTTATCTTTTATCATTCTTATCTATCTTTTCTTTTTGACTCCGATATCAAGTATCGGTTCATGTTAGCCGGCCTCAAATTTTTTTGGGACTAAGGCTTGGATGTTGTTTGTAATTGTAAAAAAACAAGTCATATGGGAGAAATTGATAGGGAGTACTTGACAAGGTTTCCTTTTTCTTAATGTAATCATCAAGTAATGATTAAAAAACCTTACTTGTATACGAACTACATAGCTAAGTGATTTAGCACAGCTTCTACACACGGGATAAGTAGGTAACTTGCAAGATTTGATTTTTCATGCCTCAGCAACTAAGCATTTTGCATATGTTTGGCCTAAGATGGCTTATTAAAATGAAGAAACATATGTGATCATATACTCTAATACAGAACAAAAGGAAATTTTTGGAAGAGAGACTGTGTCTCTCTTGGAAGAGCAAATGAAAAGTTCAAAGCTGATTTTCCGTGAAACATGGAACTAAGAGCAGCCTTGCAATTTTCATTAAGAATGTCCGTGGTAAACCAACTAACAATGAAGTAAACATCTAGTACTCAACTGACTGCAAGTCATTCTAGATGTCCATTGGATATCTGTCATCTAATGTTGGAAATCATACCACTGAAATAAGCAGTTCAAAGTTTCAAAGAGAAAAGGAATAAAATCTTGCTACTATATATGAATCAACTAAGAAGTCCACACACATGCCATTTTAGAGTTTTGCGATTTGCAAGTTATTTGTCGTGTCAGCCATCAGGAATTAGAATTATTTGTTTAGTTGTTCACTTATTTACTAATATGTCATGATATGACGAAAAGATAACCTGGATGAAGTGTTTTTAATTCGATACTCCCTAGAGTAAACTACAAAATGTGGGAGATCATTCTTCGTAGGAAGGAAAATATTAGTGGTAAAATCAGAGTGGCAACTGATACAGTAGCACCAAAGCAGTTGACTATGGTTATATGACACATTGCCAGTTATGTAATAAATAAACCAGAAATCAACCACATTACACAATTGACATAATATAGTGCTCATCTTTTCCAACTGCAGATATTACACTATCGGATCACCCTACCCAGGTTTAAGCAGGCATTATTCAAGGAAGACGGTAAACAATTCCTGAAGTGAGTCTTCCATAACCACCTAAGCAGGCAATTGTATGTAAAAACATGGGCTTGTGATCCAAAAAAACATTAGAAAGGACTATTATAATGAAAATAACGTGGATTGGAACTGTTGAGGATATCTCACATCGATAATTAATTATCGGCCATGGCATATTACTAGCTTCCATTCATTTCAGGCTTCAATTTTAAAAATCGCACCTTTATCGTGTCAAATCATCTATTCACGGTAATTTTCCTGGATGCCAAATAATAAACTAGATGCGTCGACCGGATCAGCAAGGAGATGCCAGATAGCAAAATAAAGAACAGGAAGTGCAAAAAGAAAAAAAAAGGAACCTCTCATTTGATCAAGATACATAAATCCGATGGGAGGAGAACCCAATCTGGAAGGAGTTCCATCGGACGAATCCCCGGACATGGTAAGAAGGTTCCTGGATGCGATGGACGGAGAGGTCTGAGCAGCTGACATCCAGGAACATGATGACAGAGACGACAACCTCCGACCTGCAATTCTCAACATCCTTATCGCCTTGAGCTGATCTGTGATTAGCTTCTTTCGATTTGTATTTTGAATTGGTCTAGGCTAGGGTTTCACGGTGACGCGGTCTTCCGGAAGAACGCCTCGCAGGTGCTCAAGGATGTATGATGAAGATGCATTTATTTATTACACGTAGTTTTCTCTTCTTCTCTATGCAAATTTTATTGGAGGAAATTGCTTTTAGGCCCCAAAGTCGGTTGCCTGTTACATTATTGGCCAAAACATGATTTTTTTATTGGCCAAAACATGATATTCTAATTGGGATGGTTCATGAGGTAATAGGCAATCTAAAAGATATGAGGTGATTATGTGTGGGGAAAATCTTACACTAAAACTGAGCAAAGTGCAATTGTGAAAATTCATTTCCATTTTTTATTATCCCTTTCATTTGGATTAGCTTGTCCTAAATGTGTTTTTAACTTTTATTCAATTTGAAAAGATTTTAAGCATAAGTAAAGATAAAAATAATACCACACTTTCAAGGAGACAAAAATAGATTGGATTGCCTTTAACATTACTAACTCTAGTTGCCCCAATCTCTTGCTCCCTTCTTCTTTCCGCTTGCTCTCATGTGGCATCGTCTCATCGCAGCAAACCTCCGCAACTATGCAACCGTAGATCTCCACCGTCATTTTACGCGCATGTTGCCTCCATCTCTCCTTCTTCATTATCTTCTTCTCATTTATTCTGTTCGTATTCATCATTCCCATCCTTTCTCCTTCTTTGTCGAACAAAGAAGTCATCGCCATCGAAGACGATGATGAGCTTCGTCGGTCTAGCGGTGATGAGCTCGATCCGCCGCAAACCTCTTCATCTGCAACATGTAGATGTCGCCTCACCTAGAATCCACAATTCCCGGATGTAAAGGAAAATTTGGATGTCAATGGTAGGGATCTGGGTTAGGTAAGGTTAGGTGTTAACGGTATGAGGCGTGGTTAGGGTGACGTTGGTGTGAGGGCGGCTGGTCATAGTGGGTTGGGGTCTAGGGTGGTAGTGACAGTGGTCCAAGGCTGAGGAGTGGTGGGGCAGTGATGATGCGGGAGCTATGGGATAGGAGCTAGGGAGGGGTTTGGGGATGTGGATGGGGCTTGGGAGGGGCTCGGAAAGTCGGGCGGTGACACTCACCGCCAGAGAAGTAGGTCACTTGCGACGGCGTTGTACCTGTCATTAGCAGCCGGGTAAGTGTCAATAGCGACAACGAGTTACTGGAGGCGGTGGGATAAATGTCACTGATAGCGGTGTGAGTACCACTTGCGGCAGCAAAGTAACTATTACCGGTGGCAGGCCACTGTGGTCGGAGTCCGGGTGCAGGTCAATGTGGTCAGAGTAAGTGTAATTGTCACTGGGAAGGTTATGTGTCACTTTTGAAAGATGTTTAGCAATAAAGGCTTAAAGCATTTGGATATTTCAATCGTGTATATATATTAATGCATAGAGCTACAATAGCCCAAGAGGTTACAAGCAGTTACATTAGGATAACAACAAGAAGAGTCATATAATTAGACTAAATCTCTCTATAGATAGGTACAAAAGATTTACACGATGTAGTATCCTATCATGCTCCCGCGATCGAGAGTGGTTCTGGAAGGACTCCGAGCTTGGAGCGGAGAGAGGAATAAGCAACGAGCCAATGGTTTGTGATGGTCCCGGATAGAGGTAAAAGTCTACAGGGGGGGTGAATAGACTTTTAAAGTTTTTTGAACTTTAAAAACTTTTCCCTACAAGAAGAGTGATTTATAGATGTACAGCGGAAGTCTTAACCTCTATATAAACTGTGTATGACAACTTTCTATTTAGTAAGTGAGCAAAGGAATTTGAAGGACAATCAGATAAGTCTCATGATATCTAAATAAGTCAAATGAAGTATTTGAATGAGATTTAAACTTATCTAGAATGGCAGTTGCCTTGGCAATTGTGTAAGCAGTGGTCTGGGCAGTAGAGTATTCACCAGAGAACTTCTGAAGCTACTGCGGAGTAAAGAGATGATTTTCTAGATTCTGATTGATCTGGGATGTTTTTGAAGACTTTATAAGGCTTTAGTGTTATGGAGATGGTTCACAGAGAATATGTAGAAGGGCAGTGGACTTGGCAGTATGGTGAGCAGTAGTCTCCTGCTGAGGTGACTGCTAAAGCTGCTGCTTAATTTAGTAAGTGTTTGATGTGTGCTTTGTTGATTGAAAGTAAATTAACACACTGTATATCCTCGTTCAGAGGTGGTGTAATCCTCCTACATCCAGTCCCACCCTCTTTCAGATGGATTTCCACTAAAGTATTAAACGAATACACTTAGTGCCAATCTAGCCTTTTACACACAACTGGCCTAGATTGAAGGTGTTTCACAAGGAGTACACACCACTCCAGGCTACTCAATCCTTTAGATTTTCTCAATTGATCCAGTGGGGATCAAAAGGTACTCTATTCTATTTATCCACACTTAGAACTTGATACTATAGTTCTTCTAGGTGTTTACAACAATTTATGATATACAAGAAAAATTCTAGCCTCCAACTATGAACTAAACTTCCAGAATATAGTAATGAGAAGTTCTAACTTGGAAGTTTAGTGAAGCATGAGTCTGAGCAGAGAGCAAAGTTAAACAAGCACTTTCTCTTTTGCTAGATATCTCTTAAATGCTCAGTAAGATTTCTCTACTTAGAAGGCTCAGAAACTTGATTTTAGAACTCATGCTTCTGCCTATATTTATAGGTCTTTCCAGTTGATTAATTTCATCCGTTAGTTGAGATGAAACCATCTTGAACGTGTTGAAATACGTCTTCTTGTGCTGGAGCAGATATTGTTGATTTCTTTGTCCTCACTGATGAGCCGCTGAAAGATCAATTAAGAATCAATCTTCATTATTTGGTGTGTGCGTCCCATACTCTTAGGCCCATGTACTATTTGAGCATTAAATGCCCTTGAGCTTTGTCTTCAATCATACATGTATAGTACATGCCGTGTACTGCTTTGGGTTTTACTAATTTGTGATTTCAACTTTTTGTATCAAATAAATTTGTACTGGTAGGATCTTAAATATCCTCAAGGTAAAAAGAGTTACCTTATTGCATTTTTAGTTTCCAGTGCAATTTATTTGGTACAAAAGTTGTACATTTTAATTTGTCACTTTTGACCAGTTGATAGTGTACTTTTGCGACTGGTTAATTTATGTATCAAATAAAGCTATACTGGTAGGATTTAAATATCCTTTTAAGGTAAATAAATTTACCCTGTTGCATTTTAAATTCCAGTAAAATTTATTTGGTACAAAAAATTGTACATTATTAATTTGTCACTTCTGAGTAGTTGATAGTGTACTCTTTTCTTTTTAGTACATCAATCAACTTTTGACATGGTTACTAAGAATAGGAACATGAATCATACATGAGCTTAGTATAGTGGCATCATCAAAATCTATCAAAATTGGGTACTAACAGTTTGGCGAGTGGGTCGGCAAGCTTATCTTGAGTGCAAACATGACTAACCTGAAGGTGATCTTTAGCAATCTGTTCTCGAACAAAATGAAAATCAATGACAACATGCTTCATTCGGGAATGAAAAATCGCCTTGACACAAACATAAGTAGCACTAATGTTGTCACGCAAAAATGCAGGTGGCCATTTTGGAGTGATCCAAAGTTCAAGCAAGAGGTTTCGAACCCATGTAAGCTTAGTGACAACAGATGCAATAACACAGAATTCAACTTCTGTAGAAGAGTATGCAATAGAGTAGACTATTTCTTAGAACTCCAAGTGATAAGATTACAACCGAGAAAAACAACATAGGTGGATGTGGAGTGACGAGTGCCAGTGTCACTGACACAATCTGCATCAACATAAGCATGTAGGGGAAATGGAGTATGAGCAGACAAGAAAACACTAAAGCGAGCAATACCTTTGAGATATCACAATAACCTTTTGATCGTTTGCCAACAAATAGACCGAGGAAGGAGAGTTCGTGTATTGAGATAACTTGTTGACTACAAAACTAATTATGTCTGGCCTGGTGAACGAGAGATAATAGTGAGCACCAATGATGTTTCTGTATTAAGTGTCATTATGAGGCGAAAAGCCATCATAGAGAGTGAGGGTTTCACTAGGGGAGATGAGTGTAGGGACTAGAGTGACATCATGCATATTTGTACCAGAGAGAATGTTTCAAATGTATTTATATTGAGTGAGAAATAACCCATTTGATGTTCGGGTTGCTTCGAGACCCAAGAAGTATGATAAAGCATTGAGATCCTTTTGAAAAAACCGATGAGCAAGCCGAGTGATGAAGAAATTGAGAAAAGATGATACCTCATAGGCTCTCAAATAGCAAAGACTGCAGTGGCGCACTAATTATCAACGTATCCAACTTTCCCTCATCAAATGCCATTAGGTGGCGCAAATTCTTAAACTCTTGAAACCACGTATGAATCATGTGGTCTTCATGAACATCATCAGCAAATAAGGGTAGTATGAACCTCACATCCTCATGTTCATAATGCATGTGTAGTTGCTGTTGACGATGATGTCTTTTACATAGATGATAAGAGAAGTATAGACCCATGAGCATGAAATATGAAGAGAGAAACATCGCTCTTATTATGTTGGAAACCATATTGTAAGAGATACTCTCGAAGTTCACAATACCGAGCACGAGGTGCTTGTAAGAGACCGTACAATGCTTTATGAAGATGGCAGACATGATCCATATATAGACTGTTAGTCAATAAACCCCTAAGGTTGTTGCATGTAAACCTTATCAAACAATGTACCATGCAAAAATGCAAGTTTTGCATCGAGTTGACGGATAGGCCACTTGTTTAAAATCGCCAATGTGAGTATCACTCAAACAGTAGCCGGTTTAACCACCAGACTAAATATATCGGTAAAATCCACCCCAAGACCTTGATGAAACCCTTTAGCAACTAACCGCGCTTTACATCGGGTCACCGAACCATTCGGGTTTTGTTTCACCTGAAACACCCATTTACAACCTATAACATTGTGTGTGTTGGGAAGGAACAAGGATCAACACGTTATTTTTTGTAGGGAAATACACTCTTCCAGCATCGCATTTTGCCATTGTGGAGCGATCATGGCTTGTATATAAGTAACGGGGGCGATAGGAAGACCAGATGAAATTAATGCTTGAAGTGCATATTTGGGGTTTGATTTGTAAATTCACTTTGGGGGGGGGGACATAGACGAGAACTTTGGGG